TGCACCGATGTGAATGCCTTTGAGCAACATCAAGATTTCCTCAGCATTTGATTCCTAGTATCTCGAAGTTCCTAGCAAGTTAGAACACACTCTCCTACGTCGCTCAAACCTACAGCCAAGGACAAAGTGGATATATGAGATGATTTCCTTTGACAACCTCTAACTGTCTCACAACTTAATCGTCTACCGGTTAACATTGCCCCGTGTGGTGATATTAATGTAAGTATAAAACTTGGGCAATATGGTAGAGCATAACTCCATTATGAATAAGATTTCATTCTGATAAATCACACAGTGTTATACAGTAATATTAACTGATGACCTTTCGAGCACAAACTATTGCTCATAATCATATCAAGTTACTCACACAACTTTTTCCCTTCCTTTATATACATGTGTGGAATTGATTAGATATTTCAATAGAAAATCAATATAGGATAATGTACATTCAGAAGTAATAATGAGTGTTATTGACCAAATATGATCAGATGGGAAATACGACGAGTGTTTTTATAGTCATAATAGGTTAAGTGTTAGAATGTTGTGATGTGTTGAATTGAAATAGAATTTAAGATTATTTATTATCTTCTTCTGATCTGACTGTGGCGATAATACGAGAGTTATTGATCAAATATAATCAGATGGGAAATACGACGAGTGTTTTTATAGTCAAAATAAGTTACTTGTTAGAATGTTATGATGCACTTGAAATGAAACAGAATTTTAAGATTATTTATTATCCTCCTCTGATTTGGAATTTGTATACCTTTGAGTTCAAGTTACGAAAAGAGATGTCTTTGCTGACTTCAATGTTCTTAATTACATCAAAAATAACTTGAATTATGCGAACATAGTAAATCGTATGTGGTAAACCCCGAAGAATTGTTAGTGAAAACGCAAAAACGAGAGGGACCTCCCATTTCTTTTCTCTTTGAGTTGTACCAGCGATGTGGTTGGTGCACCATCGGCTATAGGCTTTATGTGAAAGCTTGATAGTCGTGCAACAATACAGACACTGAAGCTGGTCGACTATCATCTCGACTAATCTGTTTTAACCCTCACACATAAGTAGGTACAGCATACTGTACTCTATCAATAGGCTTCGAAATGAACTCATCTCTGACACACTCAAAGACTTCTGCATCTCCCCCTTCTGCATAATTTTTAATTTTTTTTATTATTTTGATTACAGCTTGATGCCACACCGTATTTTCAGTACAAGTATGGAATTTTCAGCATGGATATCGATAGCCCAAATTTTGCAGGCCGACCATAGATATCGGGTGTACGTCGGCAGGGGATCGAACCCCGGACCATGTGCATGGTCGACGAGAGTCCTAACCACTGTTCTCAGGTCTCTCTTGTCTGCGGCCTGCCTGTTCTACTTCAGTAGCCAGCCAGTGTGTCGTAGAATTATCTTTCGTCTTTCCTAGCACTCTTCACGTCTTTCTTGATTCAGTGCAGTGTACATTGAACTCAGCTTCTCTTTCTCTTGTTCATCTTTGCATTGGGTCATCTCCTCTCCTATTAGCTTCCAGGTATCCACTGATAGCCATTGCTTGTCATGTCTCTTCTTTCTTCCTAGAACATTTGTACACATTTCCTTGAGCATCACCTTCAGAGAGTTCCGATGTTATTCCACACAGGTTTCCTCCATGATGCCACGTAGTGTCTCCGACTTTGCTCTGATCTGATCTATAGTGAAGGCATCCCTTGTAGTTTTGTCCTTCAGTTTCTGAATGTTGAACTTGAATTACAGTGGCCTGTCTCCAGTTGTTGTGGTGGATTTCAGCTTCACCTTGAACAAGGTAATGGTCTGAGGCTGCCCACATCTGCCCCCCTTCTCAACTTTGTGTCCAGCAGACCAGCTACGTCTCCACTTCCCTGAGCAACATTGAGATGAAATCTATCTGGTTTGTGGTGTGTCCGTCAGGTGAAATTCATGTTGCTCTGTGAACATCATTGTGTTTGTAGATGCTGCCTCCAATCACCAAATGATTGAAAGAGAAGTTTGCGAATAATTTTCCGTTCTCATTTCTCCGAGAGCCTCTCGGCCCATGATGAATTCTCTCCCTGTATTATAAGGTCTCACTTATATAGTAGCCTGTTTGGAGGAGGTCATTCAATACAGAACTGTTGACGGTTTTAACAGCACCCATATGTTGCAAATGGTAGGATTTGCCGAGCATGAAAAACTAAGTTCCTAGAGTAGAGGCCAATATAAATGGCTTTACAGGAGCAGCTGAAATCATACATAAAATTAGAGGTGGCTAGCCTAGCTACTTAATCTTTTAGTTTTGCGATCACTACCGGTTGTGTGGAAAATATAAGCCAACCTCATTGCAATCCGCTCAAATCAACCGGAGCTCTGCGTGCGAAAGTAACAGATCCAGCCAATATTGCTACCTGGACTTGCTGTCGAACCTATAAGTCCATAAATTCTCAGTTCCTTTCCTTAATTCACCTTATACATTCAGTTTAGTGTTATATCAATGCATGTTACCTCTAACCGATGCTTTTGAAATGTAATCTGTTGATAATATTGATTTAATGTAATTTAAAATATCAGTGTAGTTAATAAAAATCATTCTTTAATTATCACGGTCGTATAAATGTAGAACCTGATAGTAAATTTATAGAAGAGAACATTCTTTGTTTAAAATCAATATAGGATAATGTACATTCAGAAGTAATAATATGAGTGTTATTGATCAAATACAATGAGATGGGAAATAAAAGGAATTTTTCTAGTCATAATAAGTTGCTTCTTAGAACATTATGATGTTTGAATTGAAATATAATATTACGGTTATTAATTATTCTCTTCTGATTTGACCGGCGGTAATAATATCTTCCATATTTCTGGTATTTGCATTGAGTCATTTCTGTTGCATGTGTTGGGTGTAGACTCAATGAACAAGGATTCCGTAATCAACCTATCTCTCTAGCTACCTATGTTGCTCTTTGGAATTTTAACCCTGTTGTGTGTTAATGCATGCATTGCAATTACTGAGCTTTTTTCTAAATTACTTATCTTTTCAGGGTCAACCATTCTTCCCTTAGCTAAATTCTTATGTTCTGATAATCTGACTATCCCTGACCTACTAGTTTGACCTATGTAGTTGACTTCACAGTCATTGCAGGGTATTTTGTCTAATTGGGTCAACAGGGTCCTTTATGCTGCAGAGCTTGTAGGTTTGAATGCCACCCTAATTCCTACGTAGAGTCTCAGATGTCTCCCCCACTGTAATACCATATAAGGAGGGGTTGGCAAGTGACACGTGGGCCTGAAACGCTTTAATGGTTAGACTAGCTTTTATACTTGGTGACTATATCTGAACCGACAGAAAAGGCTGTAGTAAAACTCGTTCTTTACTATGTTTGAACTGCAGTTATTAGGTGACTAAGTTCAGGTTCCAAAAAATGAGGTATCTTACTCCTGCTATCCAATCATCAAATGACGTATAAAATCCTGTCATACGGAATTCAGTCAGATAGTGAGTCTTCAAGCATAATAATATCCATACATCGCCAAGTTAACGAGGACTAACTAAATAACCTTCTGAAATTAGTAGGATGAATTTCGTAGATTTGACATTGGCAAGAGGAGACCAATGTGACATAGTAAGCGAGTCTTTGACACGGTATAAATCTAAAACCGGAGATATGACATCCATTATTAGCAAGGCTTGTTTCACTTTATATAATGTTTGTACGGTGGGAGCTGTTAAAATGTTGAAAGCGTGGTGTTCAGAGACTAAGAATGATTCTTCTTTTGTATAAATAAACAGATAGTACTGCCTCCACCACGCTCTTTGATCGTTGGAAAGGAATTTGTGGCTTTAGTCCCACTCATAAGTTACAATGAAAAATCAGCTGACACATGAAACGCCAAAATCTGAAATTACTTAAAGTAGAATACACTACAATGCATGATGGAATACTGAACACTAACTTTCATTATTCAATCATGCAAACAGTTCGCTAAGACAGAGTAGTTATTTCAGTTCATACACAATTTAGCATGACATTCAATAGCAAGAATTTAATTATACACAGATATTTCAAACCTTTAAAATAAGAGTAAGAAACTCATCACACTGTTGAGGTAGATACAAAAACACAACTGCCGTATGTGCCTGATCTAAGTACGATTTGAAGCCGACATATAGATGAACATTAGAGCGATTGCAATATTTGGAAATAAGAGGGCATTAACATTAAGTCTGTCAAAGTAATAACAGTAAGCATATTCCACATTATGCTTTTCACATAATGCATAAGTATCACAGGGAAAACAAATAAAAGTGCATTAATAGTAGAAAATCATTGTGCGTTACATTTCGGAGGACAAGCAAACGAAAAAATGAGATCACATTGATAAGCGCATTGAAAGTCACATAAAAAGCATAAATAAAGATAATTCAGAAAGACTTGACGTTTAACTTGAAAATTTCAAGCAAACATGTTGTAACTGCAGTGAATTAAAGTAAACCCCGTCGCTAATTTGTTATATCTGTATCGGAATTAAAATGAGGACGTTGTCGCCTTGTTCTGTCTGCGCCTGACTAATATGCCTATCTGCTTCTGGTACCTTCCGATTCAGCGAACCACGCAAATATCAAAAGACAAAGTCTGGTCTGTGACTGTGTATTTGTAGTACAACAACTACGACGACAAAGAAACTTATTTAGGAAATGGTATTTATACATTTTTACAACCAATATAGACAGCTAACAGTATTTGAAATAATTGGTCGTAATAGTCAATAACAAAATGCGTGGGAATGATGATATACCACTTATGTGAGATTAACAATCGTTAAAATAATTGAACAATAACAAAGTGTGTGTGATCCTATCAAAACAGGAGACATGTTTAGAGAACACGTTCATCAATAGAATCAACATAACCGAAGTTTGACACAGAAAAATCGGCCTGAAATATATACAGTGCTGTGTATTTCATTACTAAATTATTGCACGTCTAGAAATTAGTCTTCAGAAGTAATCATTCAAATCAGCCTTTATTCGTGGGTTAGCTTGCGAATGACCTGTAGATTTCGTAGAAGGACGACCACTCCCTGAGTTAAGGCGTGCTTCTTCATGCTCCTCACGACCACAAGGCTGTTATAAATAAAAGGCAAAAAAATATAACATATTTCCGAATATTTTTAAACAATTTTTAATTAATTTTTTTATTTATCAAGAGTACACTGTACATGCATTGCATATGCACTCGACGACAGAATTTCAGAAAAAAAACCTAAGCTTTATATGGAATAATATTGATAACGACCTTTATCACAACGTGTAAGTTTGAATACTCCGGACAAAAACATGATAAGTATTAAAACGCATACTAAACTAAAACCCTCTAGGAAGCTTAATTCGCACGTAAGTCTGGATGGGATTTCTGGTAATTCTTGTCATTTTTTAAGCACCAAAGAAGCCGGAAGTTAATACTCAAATAACATCATTTGCAGAAGAATAGGAATAAACCAATACCAGATTTATAGTGAATCAGCATATAATTTGCCTTTGTTCGATAAAACCTGAAAATACAAAATTCTTACGGACATAACGAATATTATCAAAATAATGCTATTTTCCCGACCGATAGCTGCTACCTTGACGTGGTGGTCGGGCTTGCGTATCGCAATGACCCAACGAGCTATACTGGCTGAGACTTATGTCGCTTGAGGTCCTACCATGCCAGAAAGGTTGTTTGGATAGCGGTTAGGCAAAAAGCAGCTACTCAATCCAATACTATGATTCAAACAAACTCACAAAATATCATGCCGGATCGGTCTGGGTCCGGATTAACGATCGCGCTTCCTACTGCCGTGTCACAGGGCAGAATTGATAAATATGCTACTCAGACACACCAAACAAGAAAGAACAAACAAAAACAGGCCGCGTGTGACATGTCTCAAGAAGTTGTCCCCTGGGCTCTGCGGTCACGCAACACTTACCTTCTCTCTCTCCCCTTCTCATGCGTGAGGCTAGCAACCCTACCCTGTAAAAAAAGCTGCTACAGAAACTTCAGCACGATGAATCTCCTCGAGCCAAAAGAAAAAGTCTGTGTGGGGAAATGGAATGTCCGCACCATGTACGAGATTGGCAAAGCTGCCCAGATCGCAAACGAAATGAAAAGATACGGAATTCAAGTACTGGAGATATGTGAAAGCAGATGGAACAGGAATGGACTCACCAAATTGTCAACGGGTGAGTCAGTGATCTACTCCGGTCACCCAGAGGATAACCACATGCACACCGAGGGCGTAGCTATCATGATGTCACCAACGGCAACGAAGGTCCTCACACAATGGCAGGCGATCTCGCCTAGGATGATGACCGCCAGATTCAACTCCAAGGGAAGGAAAGTGTCAGTTATACAATGCTATGCACTCACAAACAACGCAGACCTCGAAAAGAAAGAAGAACTCCGCAGATAACTACAGGCAACAATGGAAAAAATACTCCAGTCGTGACATTAAAATACTAATGGGAGACATGAACGCCAAACTTAGACCAGAGAACACAGGAAGGGAACTCATCATGGGTAGAGAAGCTCTCGGAGAAATGAGTGAAAACGGAGAACTCTTCGCCGACTTCTGCGCCTTCAATGAACTAGTGACTGGTGGCAGCGTATACAAACACAAGGATATCCACAAGGCTACATGGGTGTCACCAGATGGGCGAACCAAAAACCAAAGTGACTTCATTTCAATCTCAAGGAAGTGGAGGCGCAGCCTGCTGGACACGAAAGTAAGAAGGAGAGCAGACGTTAGCTCAGACCCCTTCCTCGTACAAGGGACAATCCAAATCAAACTAAAAGCTTTCAGAGAAACAGGAGCTGCAGATAGACCACAAGACAAGTTAAGTACTCAAAAACTGAAGGATCAGGATACAAAGAATATTTTCACTACAATCATAAGGAAAAAGGCGGAGACACAAATGAACACTAGCGAAGAGACCAGCGTTGGAAAGCACTGGAACAACTTAAAAGCAGTGTGGAGTCAAACCTGCATGGAAGTTCTAGGCAGAAAGAAGAGACAGGACAAACAGTGGCTCACTACGGACACTTGGAGACTGATAGAAGAGAGAGGGATGGTGAAACAAAAGATTCTCCAGTGCACCGACGAGCAACAAAAACAGGATTTGAATGCAAGCTACAATACACTGAACAAAAGAGTAAAGAAGAGTGCCAGGGAAGACAAAAGAAAATATTATGAAGCCATGGCAAGTGAAGCAGAACAAGCTGCAGGCAAAGGAGACCTCAGAACACTCTACCAAACAACTAGGTTCCTATCGGGGAAAAGTTCAACAGAAATTAAGCCATTGGAGGATGACAATGGGAAGTCAATCACCAGAGAGGTGGAGCAAAGGAAACACTGGGCTGAACACTTCGGAAGACTTCTAAACCAACCGCCGCCTGCAAAGCGCCCAATAATACCAGCAGCGGAAGCAGAACTACCAGTGGACATCAACCCTCCGAAGAAAGTAGAAATCCTGAAGGCCATAGAGATGCTTAAAATTGGAAAATCAGCAAGACCAGACGGAATCCCAACAGAAGCATTGAAAATGAACACAGATACATCAGTGGACTTGATGACACTACTACTGAAGAAGGTGTGAGAAGAATGCAAAGTACCTGCGGATTGGAAGAAGGGCTACTTATTCAAACTGCCAAAGAAAGGGGACTTAAGTCAATGCAAGAACTGGCGCGGAATTATGCTCCTGTCCATCCCAAGCAAAATTTTAAGCCATCATTGAACAGAGCTTGGAGTGGCAGTAACCTCTCTATTTCAACTTCATCGACTTTGGAAAGGCATTCGACAGCGTCGATCGAGATGTGATTTGGCAACTACTCTGCTACTACGGGGTACCACCAACAGTCACACATCTCATCCAACAGTTGTACGACAATGCTGCATGCCAAGTAATCCACAACGGAAAACTCACGGAATCCTTCGAAGTGAGGACAGGAGTAAGACAAGCTGGCCGCCTACTATTGCCAATGATTTTCCTGATTGCAGTGGATTGGATAATGCGACAAACAGTGGGCAATGAGGAAACAGGCATAAAATGCACCCACACAAAAAACTTGGAGGATCTGGACTTCGCCGATGATATATGTCTGATTCCTCACAAAGTGGAAGATATGCAAGCGAAAAGCAACAAGTTGTCAAAAGAAGCATCAAAGTTAGAACTTCAGGTGAACATAGAGAAAACAGAGGTGATGAAGTATCCTGGACAAGAACAACAACAACAGACAACGATGAGCATAAATGGAACGAACCTGAAAGAAACAACCTCTTTTACCTACCTGGGAAGCATCGTTTCAACTACAGGCGGAACGGACGAGGATATCAAAGTAAGAATCGGAAAAGCAAGACAAGCTTTCACTACTTTCAAGTCTGTGTGGAGGTCAACAACACTCAGCATCAAATATATGGATTTTCAACTCAAATGTGAAGTCAGTGCTACTATACGGATCAGAGATTCGGCGTGTCACGAAGGGCACTTCAAACAAACTGCAGACCTTCATCAATAGCTGTCTTCGCTCAATACTCAAGATCAGATGGTCAGAAAAGATCAGCAGTAGGGACCCATGGGAGCGAACCAACCAGGAACCGATTGTGCAACAAATAGGCAGGAAGAAATGGAGATGGATTGGCCATACTCTGAGGAAACCATCAAGTGACATCACTAGACAAGCCATTGTTCGAGTGGAACCCGAAAGGGAAGTGGCGAGTTGGTCGTCAGTGCAAGGGTGACTTGGAGGAGGTCATGTGAAGAGGAGATGAAAACGTGTGGGCAGACTTGGAGCCAGGTGAAGACTCTAGCAGAGAACCAAACGCAATGGAGACTTGCGGTTGAAGCCCTATGTTCCTCTAGGAATTAAAGGAAACAATAATAATAATGCTTTAATATCAGTAAAAAGTTTGAGGATTGTGGATTAGATCAAATAAGGTATAATTTTATTTCAATAGTTTACACACAATGATAAGTTTTGTTATTGGTAATTTTGCTCGAAATATTACCAATAACAAAACTTATCATTCTGTGTAAACTATTAAAATATAATTATACTTAATTCAATAATAATGCTATTTTAAAAATAAACGCGAAGAGAAAAATATCCAAAATTGAAAAATACTTTCAAAACATAGAAACCACAAGGAAACAGATTTCAAAACTATTAGTGATCTCTCATGAAGAAAGTTACACAGACATGCATGCAAGATATTGTGCGCAAAACACTTTGAATTACTACAATTATACAAAACACCCTAAATAAAACCATTCTCTGTAAAAAGTATATGCAGGAACATCAGTTTGCTGAAACGAATGTAGATTGTGTTTAATATCACTGCGAATAGTTTTACACCACAAAAGTGAAGACAAATACAACGCTATTAGAGTAGACTGGAAAAGTATGGAGAACATGATCAGTGAAAATATTCGACGACTTCAGCTTATATCTTAGGCATTATTCATGATCATAGGGATCACAGCATGTAGTGCAGAGGATACCTAGACCTAGGGATTAGACATTTACTACTTTTCGTGAACTGGAGGTCACATATGACTCGTTAATTCATAGCCATAATAACAATAATAGCATGAGGACGAGGTCGAAATGCAATCTTTCGGAGATTACAAGCAGAAACCTTAGTATGCTTGGCATGCGATTTGCCCGTTTACTGATCGCTGATATTGCAGGTATGGTTTGCGCCAACTCATAGTTTTAAGATAGGGAGTAAAATGATTGGACATATTAGCCACTCAAGTTATTTGGGAACTAGTACCAACCCTCATGGATTCGTGGTTGGTGAATTCTCTATCTATATGAAGAAAACTTGTTTGGCATCTGCCAATATGCTTTTTTTTCCAAAAGGTTGGTAGCCAGATACGTATGGAAGAGCATGTTTGCTGTGCAGCACACCACTTTGTACTACTTTTTCGTAAAAACCATGGCAGCTGAAAAAATATTCTAAGTTATGGATTTCAGATGCCTTAATTCAACTGCTTGAGTTAGGCAGAGTAATGTGGTAAGCAATAACAAAGTAAGCAGGGGTAGTGGATAGATCAGGTTAAGAAGCTTCGTCAAGTAAAGTACTGAGCAAAAGAGGAAGTTGACTGTCGAATAAGACGGCTGAGCATATGTCACACATGAAGAGACACTAGAATTTCTTGGACATACTGTCAACGCAATCGGCAGTGAACCACACCTATTATGTAAGTGTCGATGGTACCACTTAGATGCCCAAACCACGTTAGCCGAAATGGGTTCGGACTCGTAGCTCATACGCCAGAACTTCTGTGTCTTTTCGTGTCCCATCATGGATGGATATGTTTTCGTTTGGCCATCTGCAACACTTTTCCACTATAATCCTACGTCGCTTATTAAATCAATGAATTCAAGTGGATGCGATTGCACAGACTCTGATAATTTCGTCAACAAAGAAATTTTCCTTCATTGAGTTGTCTATCAGTTTCCTACTCACAGAAATGTCCAATGCTCCAAAAAGGGTTTCACCCCAAAAACATTTTAAACGACTGATCAGGTAAAGAATACATGAATATACTTGACAATGCAGATGCAAGAGCCCTCAGAGATTATTCAATGCTAAATTAAATTTCTCACTAACAGAACACTCAACAATATCGCGTACATGTATCTACTTTGACATCTATAACACTTAATAGTAAAACAAATCACACATCATAGTATTATCAATAAGCGCAGGAAGACTATTATTTATATATATATATATATATATATATATATATATATATAACACAAAATAATCGAGCAAAGAATATTCTTTTCGATAAATTCCTCTTCCAGGCTCTACAATTATATATATATATGTTTATATACACAGTATATTTTAAATTAGTAGTTGATAACAATATTAGCGTTTTTTAAATAATATAGATTTGTAAAGTATGATCAATGCTATTGCAGTTCATTGAAGATGCTTAAATTATTATAATAATGAAGATATAACAGAGAATAGAATATCAACTAAAATTAGGGAAATTTCACAAAAATTCTGGATTATTCAAACCTGGATGGCCAAGGTAATGATAATGACTGAACTAACTTCTTTTGGGTGCATAAATTAGGCTTATTAATATGAATCCCCACAGCCTCAGCAATATTTAGAAGTCGAACTCTTAAAGCGAAATTGAGATTCATAGGTATGCGGTAAATGACCCTGAAAGCATGATTAACGTCAATCTTGTGTTCTGTCTCCACAAGATGAAACAGAATAGCGCTGCGAATAGATTTTGTTTGTCCTTTGCTTAACCAGGCAGCGTGATGTTCGGAAATTCGACGAGAAACACGCCTAATTGTACGGCCTATGTACCTGGCTCCACAGGAGCAGTTAAATTGGTATATACACATGGAAGAGGCGAAATTAGGCAGTTTGTTTTTTATTCCCGAACGCAGAAGAGGAGTGGTTTTGAAGATACAGCGTAATTGAGCAGCAGGGAATGCTCTTTTTACCGCATTTCTGAGGCGATGTGTTAGTATCTCACTTGTGCTGTCTCCTAGGAACTGCATCTGTAAGAACAAGGCTTTCTTTGGAACTGTCGGTAACTTGGACCGTTTTGGTTTTAGATTCATATTCTTATCAATAAACTTTTCGGGATAACCATTCTCACTTAGCAACCGTTTAATATTGTTAAGGTCCTCGTCAAGACATTCATCCGAGCAAATCTCTCTTGCTCTGTGGACCAAGCACTTTATTAGATTGCGTTTGTATTTCAAGGGCACAAAGCTGAGAAAATGTGTGTACTGGCCCGTTGATGTAGGTTTTCTATAAACACTTCTTATTGTGCCATCCTCTTTTCTGGTCATAAGGACGTCTAGAAATGAAATACTAGAGTCTTTTTCTTTCTCAATAGTAAAATTTATTGCAGGATGTACCTCATTAAATTTATCTAGGATGTCCTTTGCCTCCTTTTCGTTCTTCATAATCAAAAAAGTATCATCCATGTATCGACAATAAAATTCGAGTTCATTAATAACATTTTTCAAAGGCCCATTTTCTAGTTTCGCCAGGAAAATGTCGGCTAGAATGGGTCCTAGTGGCGACCCCATTGCCACACCGTCGATTTATCTATACAGTTCCTTGTTAAATAAAAAAGTGGACATTCATTGTACATTTCAAGAGAAGCTCCTTCATGAAAGTTATAGGAATGCCAACCTCGATGTTTCGTCTTTTGAGTTCTTCACATATAAAGATCACTGTTTCCATGACAGGTACATTGGTGAATAAAGAAGATACGTCAAATGATATCATGAATTTATTATCAACATTTAAATCTCTTATCCTTTCAACGAATCCAAATGTATCCTTTACACTATATTTCACCAACTCAGTATGAAGGGGCTGTAAGAGTTCAACTAACCATTTGGCTACCGGATAGTATGGTGAACTTAGCATATCTAATACTGCTCGTAGCGGTACATCATTTTTGTGCACTTTAGGCGAGCCATATAGTCTTGGTGTGAACGCTCCGGTGGGTTTAAGTGACGTGTACTGACTCTGTGAGATGAAGCCTTGTTGTTTCAGTCTTTTCAGTGTTTCCGCCAACTGCATCTCTATTTTGTCAATCGGATCCAGAGAAGAGATTTTTTTGAATTTTGAATTATCATTAAGAATAGTATTCATCTTCTCAAAGTAATCCGCTTTGTTCAAGATAACCACTCCTGAGCCCTTATCTGGTTTTGTTATTATTATGTTGTCATTTTTGCGGAGAGTATCCAGGGCTTCTCTATGTTTTTTGGTTAAGATACTATCTGAATTGCGTTTACTGTTCATGTAATAATAGCAGCAGTCGACCAGCGTTGATTTAAATCTTTCAACATATTATATACACACATTATATATATATATATATATATATATATATATATATATATAGCTTTTTTCAACGGTGTACAATTTTAATTCAACAAAACTTTTGGATAGGCCAATCAAAAGTGAAAAACTTCATATTAGATCATTTCGCAGTGTTTATACAGTGGTCAGCTTCTGTTTTGAATTAACACGAAATAATACAACATACTGCTGACCAATTATGATACGAAGAGACGAAAAATATATATAAATTAGAAAATAAATAATTCAAGATAAATATCACAAACCTTATTCGGAATGGTGTTATAACCGGTAGACGGACCATTCCTATAATCTGCGCTGTGCGTTCGATTGCCAGGGGGATAGTGAGCTTTGTGATCACCTCCACCAGAGTGAGGAACAGAATTATCCATACGATTTCCCTTAAGAAATATTGGTACGATAAAGACATTTCACTCATCATTGGATTATCATTATTATTAGGTTGAATAGTTATATTATCCATATTAAGGGCTCCTAACACTGTATGCCCATATTCTTGCTCCTTACTCACGGTTTACTGCATAATCCAGTCCACCACAACCAGGAATATCATCGGTGGTAGTAGGCAGCTTTATCTTACTCCCGCCTTCACTTCACACGCTTCGCTAATCTACCCATTGTGAATCACTTGCCATGTGACATCATCATACAGCTTCCTGCATAACTGACGTAGATATATCCCCTGGGGTCTTTGGGTCAGTTTTCCAGGCTTCTGTGGGAATTCCATTTGATCCTACCATTCTCCTTGCTTTATAGCTTTCAAGACTTGACTTTTTAGACGATCAGTGTTGACTAGTGGTCCTGTGACTGTAGATGGTAGTTCTTGAGTCGCAGATGGTAGTTCTCTGAAATGATCTGTCCAGTGTTTTCACTGTTTCACCTCTTCATAATTAAGCTCCCTCCACTATATTTTACTGGTTTTATCTGCATTATCTCCTCCAAAAGGCTACCTGGTTTTTGATGCAGTGTTTTATGTCTCTCAACTGCGGCCCGTTCTGCTTCAGTTGCCAGTGTGTTGAGGTGTCTTTTCTAGTATTCTGCTTCATTTCATGTATGGAGAAAAAATTAAGACACAATTTGCCCTAATTGGTAAGCATTTAGATAAGGATGATTAACGATTACGTGTTATTCATGTTTGACAAGCTAGACGTGATGTTCGATTGGTGAGTTATCATCATATCTGTTGAAGTTAACACTGCCTTCATTAGGTCAGTTGGTGAGATTGCACCTACATTTCGCGTTAAAAGCTGTCCTCAACCTTAATATTGGTGTCTGCAACATATATAACTTATTCTGTAGATATAAATGAATGAAAACATTCAGTTTCGCGACACAATTTACTCGCCAAGTAACATCCATAAGTTTTCCCGATGAGAGAAGAGGGCGACTTTTACGTAACTTAGCTGTTGGGGATCGGAAGATGAGTTAGCTCAGTATCATAAGTGCGTCATGTGCGCCGAAACTTGGGACACAATCGGTTGCACTGAAGATACTTAATTCCAACTAGAAAACAGCTAAGAAATGCAGTCCCCAGACTGCGAGGCCTTTCGTGTATTAATAAAAAGATGCGCACATCATAAATGTTGTCATGAAAGCTTCAACAAGCAAATGTGAAGACTTCAAATTAGTATTTGCTTTTTATTCGATAGTAATTATTAACAAACGTGTAATACGCTGATTGGACAGTAACTAGTTTTATACGTCAATTCTTTTCTGAGTGTTGAGTGAATTCTATCAATTCAATCAAAGTATCCAATACATTCCTACAGGAGGTCGATCGCAGGGCCGAACAGCTGTGATAACATCTCTGACTGCAGAACTCAGCGACACGGGTTTGAATCTCAGAAGGGACATGAATTCCTTCAAGACTGCAGGTGATGAGTGCCAGTAAGCATAAAACTTAAGTCCAAGGCTTCCTGTCGATTGCCTCCAACCATACAGTGGACGTAATAACTCAATAGTCATGCAGCACGCGAAACACAGAAAGTATGCACTTTAGTATGAGCCACAAATCTATTCACTTGTAGTTTTATTAACCAAATGAGATACGAATGAGATTATGAAATGAGAGCAAACGATGATTAACATCACTAGTCTTAAGCTAATTAGGAAACATTCGTGAATATCAAACTTACGCGTGATGTTCCATCAAGATAATGTCCATTTGGCATGTGGGATTGTGGTGATCTGCGACCTTGACCAGAAAATGGGCGGTCGAATCGTTGACGTTTCGGATCTGGCTCAATGGGGCCAGTAGCCGGAGCACGATTAGAGTGAGATCTGTTAAAATGCTCGCTTCCATAAACATGTGAAGGAGGTGCACGATTGTGTCTATGGTATGCATGATTCATTTGAACATTTTGTGAGCCACTAGCGTGACTACGATTATGATGGGTCGCGTGTTGAGGAGCCATTTGAACTGGATTAGGATTGGCAGTGGTGTATGGTCTTTTTTCTGGCTAAAGATTAGAGAAGAAATTCAACTGAGAATCAACAATTAAAACAGGTAGGCTAATGATACTAAACAAAACTGAGTACAGTGTTGGTTAATTTCATTCTTTTTCTAATATATAAGTACGCTTTACAAGAATTAGCAAGCCACGAATCTACCAGTGACTTGACCATGATCAGCCACAAAATCAAAAGAAATTCAAGGAGCGCGATCACGAATTCTATCTATTAGTCTTAACTACGCTGGGGAATACACATCACAACGAAGACATTGTTTTTATTTTTAAGATAAAGATTGGTAACATTTTTAAACTTTATGCTTAGAATGAACCACTCTTAGAAACATCAACCGTCCCTATAATGATAGGCACCGACTGGAGCAAAAACTACCTCACCAAATAGCCAGAGAAGGGGACTTGAGTCTATGCAAGAATATGCATAGAACCATGAGTCTGTACATATACAAAATAATGAGCTGCACCATCGTTGAAGGATTGTAAGACTCCGTCTGAAACAGGCTGAGCTGATGCCATGTTTTGATATGACCACAAGCTTTTTCCAGCCTGATCCTTTATCAGCTAACATTGCCCATTGTCAAGGAAGGCGATAACTAGGCATGCGTAACACATGTCTAAACCATCTCAATCGATGTAAACTCACAACCTCGTCGATTGATTTCCCCTCCTTACCTAGCACTCGACGCCTAACCTCAATATTACGCATCCTATTATACCATATACGACGAGAGATAGAAGGCAGGTACATACGATCGCAACAGCCTTTTCATGTCTCACAGCCATGAAGGAAGACGGAACGAACTGCTGAGCAGTATATGCGTCTTTTTGACGACAACCGAATATCACTTCCACGCCATAGATGGGGTAAGTTGGCAAACGCCAAAAGTCTTCTGTATTCGTGATGAGATTTCGTCAGCAATATACGGAAATAAGTACAATGAGTAAGGAACAGAATGATGAAAACAGGAAAGTTATGACTCGGATGATCTTCTGGACCCTACCCAGTTAGTCATCACTCGCTAACAGATGCTCACATACCACAACTAGTCCTCAACCCACAACGCCACATTATGGATTGAACACTACGCTTTTTCTATGCCATCCAATAGACAGGAGACAGTGAGTGAGAAGAGGGTTGCTGGAATATTTGTAATACATGTCCAAGCAGCAAAATTCGATATCTCAGTGTGAAATTACTTGTTGAAAGACAATCTCTACAATATCCAAACACGCCTTTGGACATCATAATTACTCACATTTTGATGTGAGCAATTCTACGTAGGTAGGGATTTTCGAGCAAATCTTGCGGGACACGTGATCCGTGCTTTCGCAACCTGAGCAAAATCCAGCCTACTACCTGCGGCTCACTTTTCTACGCATCTTACATAGCCTATGAAGCAGAATAGTCAGTTTTCCAGGTCACTGGTAATAGAACATTATCTCGAATAATTATTACATGAATTGCTTCGGCCATTTTTAAAAAGAGGTAAAAAATTACTTAATTCTACGCTGATAGATCCTGATCATTTCCTCATACTTTCAAGAAATTTCCAGGTCAATTCCATGACTGGTGACTAGACCATCTTTAAAAAGTCGGTGAATTATCTAGACCGGATGTACTTGAAGGTCCTCTCATTTGATGAATTAGTATCAACCGAATGTTGCGAATAATAATAATGGACCCAACCCAGCAATCAAGATGTCTGCTCAGGTTGTTAGTCGATGTAACATCGCCCTCATATTGTCTGGCCGACACCAAGTTTCTTGCCACTGGTGGCTTGGATAAGCTGGGACGGCTTCCGACTTTTGTCAGATGTAGCTATTGATTCTGACCATCAAGTTCCTCAGTGGTTACATGAGAACAGTTTGTTTTGGTGAGTAAGAGCCTTACGTGTTATTATATTCCCTATCTGCCATAACAGACTAACAACTGTAAACAAGTTGGAAGGAACTCAGAGAAAACCCAGTGGTTATTAGCGGCACGCATTTCTAAACCGCGGGGGCCTTGCTCTACATTTCCATGACTTTGAATGAAATGAATGCCCGAGATAAGTTGGGAAAGGGGTTCCAGTAAGAAGTTGTCAGCAGTTGCCACCAGTTTTCTAAGCAAACATGATAAGGACGTTTTTAATCCCTACCGAGTGGCAAGATAAACCTAACACACACTGAAGCATGATCAGGATCCAGAAGAGTGTCACAAAAGAATAAGTAGTCTTGTAGGCAATTATACCATCGGGTGCTGATTATAAAAACCTTATCTGCTTGAATTCAGGATTGAGTGGTGTTGGAAGGACGTAACGCAGCAAACGGTAGTGGTTGTTTCAGAAATTAGCGTAGGTTAGAAATAAGTTGTGATCAGTGTAGAACTGTAGAAGACGCTTTGGATTCTCTTAACTTCAAAAATACAGTCGTGAATGACCACCCACAAAACAATTCCCTAGACAATCGACCTGTGTATTAAAATTCCCATCTAGCCCGAGTGAATGTCGCATCTACACACTGGAGCTCTGATTTGCAACCCGTCGGCCAAAAAAGATAAGGAACCACAGACTCAGGCGACAAACCAGACAAAAAACTATCACCTAACAAAATATTCAGCAGGAAATGCAGGTGGGTTGAGCACACACTTAGTAACAATCGCCCTCACAATCCGAAGTGCACGCGAAACCTCTCTAATCCTCGCTCATCTTTGTCTCCATCTTCATCTCTATTATCTTACCTTCCTTCTACTAATGCAACTCATCTACTTGATGGGTCTTCACTCTGTGTGCACTGAAAACGACGGAAGACAAAAAACCACCATCGATAATCTCTTAAAGCCACGCCACCGATTTCATATAAGAGCATTTAATATTAGGACACTTTGCCAAATAGGACAACAAACATCACTAGCCAAGACTCTGGCATCCCGAACCATTGATGTATGTTGTGTTTCAGAAACACGCATACAAGACCCAAGTGTGGTTATTCACCTAACCCCACCTGACCAACAGGATGAATCTGCGAGATTCACCTTGAGGGTGTCAGGAGATGCGACAGCTAGCTCACGAGGATTAGCTGGTGTTGGGATAGCTTTGAATACTAGGGCAGAAAAGACATTACTTGACTGGATCCTGGTGGATAGCCGAATGTGTGCTGTCCGTCTGAACGGATCAGTGAAAAGGAGAAATGACTGCACCACTCGCCGATGCCTTTTCGTAATCTCCGCCTACGCCCCCACTGACTGCAGTTCGGATGAAAAGAAGGATGAGTTCTACCAAAAGCTGTCTAGTTTGCTGCGAAAGGCTAAACGCTCAGACATAGTCGTTTTAGCTGGTGACTTTAATCCTCAAGTAGGGAAATTGTGTCAATCTGAGAAGAATGTCGGTGGCACATACGGAATTCCGTGCCAGCGAACCGACAACGGTGACCATCTTCTACAGTTCTGTTCAGATAATCATTTGTTTCTTGTAAGCACTAACTTCAAACACAAGGAGAGACACTGTTTGACCTGGCGACCCCCATCATCAAACCAACGCTGGACACAAATAGAACACATAGCAATAAGCTATCGTTGGCGTGGGTCGGTAGGAGATTGTCGCTCCTTTTGGAACACGTGTGTAGATACCGATCACGCACTGGTCCGCGCTCGTTTGTGCTTACGGCTGAACGGACGTAGGAAACAGCTAGCAGTAAACCCATCACGTCCCCAGCTCGATCAGGAAACTAAGTCCCTATTTGAGGAAGAACTAGCTAAACACATATCTAAGTTCCACAGCTGCACTCACCCTGAAGAAGCCTGGAAGAATATTCAGTCAGCCATAGATACAACTGTGAATAAGGTAAATCCAAAGATGAGTAAAAACCGTTGGATTTCGACTGCCTCATCCGAACTGATAGATGCTAGAAGACTTATTCCGGCGAGCTCCGAATTCAATGAGGAGCGAAAGCTGCACTAAAGGAAACTTACAAAAGTCTCCGCAAGGGCCGTGAACAGTGGTGGTTGACAAAGGCGAAAGAGATGGAAAAAGCATCGACGATAGGCAACACTAGACAACTCTTAAGACTCATCAGGGAAACGGGTGGGAGAAGGCAAATCATAAGTGAGACTATTTCTGAGAAAAATGGCTCCTTAATTAGCTCTCAGGATAGACGCCTTGAACGCTGGAAAGAACACTTTGAGGAACAATTTAACTTGCCTACAGCCACACTGAGCCTCCCCACCATCCAGCACACACCCGAATGGGATATTAACACTAGTCCGCTGTCTGTAAGTGAGGTCACAAAAGCTATCTGTAATTTGAAACGAGGCAAAGCGGCAGGACCCGATGGAATTATTCCGGAGGTGTTTAAATATGGGGGTGACATACTAATATATAGTTTAACTAAGGTACTAGGTAACGTCTGGGAATCAGAGACGGTTCCATCAGATTGGGGTAAGTCACTTATTATACCAATATTCAAGAAGGGAGACAAGTCCTCATGTGATAATCATAGAGGAATCAGCCTGACGAACGTAGTCTCCAAAATTCTAGGCTCAGTAATCATACACAGACTAAGCAGAACTCGGGAGGAACAAACGAGGGAAAATCAAGCAGGCTTTAGGCTAGGTAGAGGGTGCATAGATCATATCTTCACTCTCCGACAGATCCTAGAACATAGACACACTTTTAGGCGTCCAACAATTCCCATATTTCTTGACTTAAAGGCGGCGTTCGACTCCGTGGATCGAGAGGTATTATGGCAATGTTTGACTGTGAAGGGAGTACCAAGAAAGTACACTGCACTAATCAAGGCACTGTACTCAAACTCACGTAGCCATGTAAGGGCTTATGGGGAATTGTCATCTGAATTGATAACAAGCAGTGGTGTCCGTCAAGGATGTCCACTTTCCCCTTTTCTGTTTAACTTCATCATAGATATGCTAATGGAAGTATCCTCAACTGAACTTAACGACTTAGGAATCGACTTGTTACCAGGGAATAGTCTTATGGACTTGGAATATGCAGATGACATAGTCCTGTTGGGGGAGGATGCTGACAAAATGCAGAGTCTTCTGAACACATTGAGCAGCAATCTTCGTATGTTTGGCATGCGATTCGCCCCTGTAAAATGTAAGATGCCGCTACAGGACTGGACTACGTCAACTCCTAGCTTAGTGATAGGCAGTGAAGTGATAGAACATGTTGACCACTTCACCTATTTGGGAAGTTGTATCAGCACCAATGGACTGATTGGTGACGAAATCTCAGCACGGATCCAAAAAGCTCGAGCTGCTTTCGCCAACTTACACCGTCTCTGGCGTAGGCGTGACATCCGGCTACCAACCAAGGGACGTGTGTGCTGCTCATCAGTTCGCTCCGTCCTTCTCTATGGCTCTGAAACATGGCCAATACGAGTTGAAGACATGAAAAGGTGGACTGTTTTTGATCATAGATGTCTACGATCTCTTTCTCACGTTAGGTGGTATAAATAAGGTAAGTAATGTTGACGTTAGGCGTAGAGTGTTGGGCAAAGAGGGAAAATCAATCGACGAGGCTATAAAGTTACATAGATTGAGATGGCTAGGTCACGTGCTGCGCATGCCTAACCATCGCCTCCCCCGACGGGCATTACTAGCTGATATAGGTGCAGGTTGGAAAAGAGCTAGCGGCAATCAAACCAAAACATGGCATCAATCCATGAAATCCTTGACAGTTAAACTGAGTCAGGTAGGGAGATGCAGACTTCGGGGTTGGGGCCCTCGGGACTCTAAGAATCAATGGCTGGAGACAATAGGTGACATGGCTCAAAATCGTTGTCAGTGGCGCAGATGTATTCAGTCTCTGTAATCTTTCATATTTGTTTCTACCATTACTTATTCTGTTTCACTCTTATACTTGTCAAAACTCTATTGATTCTCTCCACTCATTTTCTTGTCTACGTTTGTGTGTTACATGGTGTGGCGACTCTAACTGCCACACATATGCGCAAAGTTGTGTGTCGAAAACAGAGAGACAGACGCTGAGTTCTTAAACATCACTCATCAAGAACGTGAGTCAACCCCGAATGAGTAACGACTTGGGCGTCCAAGTGTACCATGGAGTTCACATGAAGAGATGAAAGCTTGTGGATATCGTGCAGCCATTCGAATGGGAACCGAAGGAAATGTGTGACGCTGTGTTGCCAAATACCATTTCGGACGACATTAAGACGCAACTATGAGAAGAAACAAGTGGTCTCAGAAATAAGAATTATGAAGCTTATTGCAGAGATTACTTAAACGTGCTGAAAAGCCTTGAATTAGACTCTGCAAACACCCTGGAATCAAGATAATTCTTAAATTGAATGTTTAGCAGTGCCACCCAAACCAAAACTAACACGAGTCAAGAACAACTATTCGGAACTTACCTTCCAAGAATCGCTCCTCTGCTGAGAGTCCGCCGCGTTTCTTCTTTGAGAATCAAGACCTCGGGGAGGATTGCTGATTGGTTCCTCCCATCGTTCTTTTTGCAGTTTGCGGGACTAAACGCTATATTGAAAATACGACAACTCACTCGGAGTGAATTACGCAACTGCTCCCTAATTTTCAAGTCGCATTCCTGAAAAGTCAGAGTGAACTCATCCGTTATTTTGGAGATCTCCTCAAATGTGAGGGTAGGTGAGAATGTATGAAACCATTCTCCTTTTGATGACTGAATGTCCGTGGCATTCCACTTTGCTGCAATATATAGGCTAGCTGCAGCAATCGCTTCTGCAGAATGCCGTAGTACCAAGGTGGTGAGATGTAAAATGTTAGTACAGATGTAGTAACTGGTGTGGGCTATTTCTTTCGGAAACTTGTTCATACGAATGGCTTTTACTAGCAAGACATGAGGTTGCTTCACCTCAAGCGTATGAAATCCGATCACCATAAGAATAGTAGCCTCTAAAGCATGGACATTTTGTACGAGACGTTTAAATGAATCTGATGCTTCATCAGGAGCAGGCCTCTTTAGAATGTCGTACGCAGCTTTGATCAAAAAAGACAACTTTCTGGAGAAATCTTCCGTCTTGCACGCACAGTAAAAAGCAGCTATAGCAACTAAGATGGGTTTGATGGTTTCCGGAGAAAAAACCTCGTAAAAGTAATGCATGTAGTATATTCCAGTGTTGATAACCACTTGTGTCCTGAAAAAAAAGCATATGTATTCGAGCCACCCGAAAACCTACGTTTGTAGCCTTGACCCAATTTCTTGAATTAAACACGCACACTGCTGACGGCGAGCCAGATGAAGGTTACGTTCTGTCTTACCCTGCTCCATTTCAAACTGCGCTCTAGTGATAAGTGACCCTAAAAAATGTGGACATTGTTCAGATTCCCAAGATTTATTAGTGAAAGGTCTTAAATTGCGAAGAAGACATATTCCATTGTCTGATGGTCAGTTATGTAGCAGAAAAATCAGTTTTCTTTATCATTAACTTTCCTAGTTACCTGAACGTTAACAGAAGTAACTTTCAGAGAGAGATAAACAATATTAGTCTTAAAAGATTGGCGGAGAAGTTGAAACTGTTTTCAACGAAGCTGTTTTATATGATGCATTTGTCTGTCAGTAACCGACTAAGGGGCAAAATATGCAGTGTGGAATTCTGAAAATATGCCGTGAATTAGCCACAAAGTATGCAGTAACCGACATGCGATTGAAATATGAGAAAACAAGGTCGAAGCTTACCGAAACATCACATGGAAAGATATAAGTTACTTGAACATCATTCATAATCCACTCATTGGTTTACTTTCCGAAAAGAATGCGTTGATGCTCTATCCACAGTGGCGAGGATGTCTAAGAAGTAGTGAAAATATTCTGACAGTCGCATCTCGAATCCCACTGACTCATTCGATGATAATATTCTGCTCCTGCGTGCCTCTTTCGACATTTCGTATGGGCTGGTTCTCAGTCAATCTGGTTCCTGACTAAAAAGAATCAAAAATCCACCGGCTGCCGATTCACTAATACTTCTCTGCATGTTTAACTGGATACCAACTGCTGTGGTGAGGTTCTTGTAGATTATATTGATGAAAATATTGTTGTCGGTAAACTAACCAGCGTGATATTGCATAAGTTATCGAAGAAATGAAATGTTCCAGCCAACTGGAAGAGGCACCACCTGATAAAGGACGGTTACGGAATCCTCTACAGGAACTTATGCTGAATCGCGCTGTTGTACAATCCAAGAGGAAAATTAAGCCTTATGATTCTGGAGAGTCTAGAAGCAGCCCTCGATCGAGAGGTAATTTGAAGACCATTTCAATACCGCGGAGTGTCCAGAAGCGTCATGCAGATCATCCATGATGGTGATTCATCTCATGTAATTTATAATGGCAAACACATTGAAACGTTAAGCCACAACAGGAGTAGAATTAGGCTTCCTACAATCACTGATATATCTAGTTGTGGTGGACTGGATCATGCAACAGAAGCAAGAAGACAGAACAATGTAAGATCAACGAAAAGATGCTAGATCTTGACTTTGAGCATGATTTGTGTCTAATACTGCCCAACCTTGAGGGTCAGAAAACGAAAATCTACACGTTGTCTGGAAGACAGAAATTCAAGTGAACCTAGTGAAGACAAGTGATTTCATTGACAAACAAAGATAACAGGCGAAAACGAGCAGAAACGGTAGGGATCCATCGGAATTCGTCTGACTGTCTGACATCAGCATTTCAACTAAAAGAAGCAAATATTAAGGAATCCAAGCTTGGGCCTAAAAAGCAAGGCCGACCTTCACCACCCTGATGACAGTGTGGAAATCAGCCGCGCTCTGTACAGACTACGAGATTCGGATTTTTAGCATCAAGGTCAAGTCCGAAGCGTGTCAGGAACTTGCCATGTTATAAAGTCATTTCCAACAGGCTGCAGACTTCCATCAATCGGTACGGCCACGGCTGATATATTGATTGATTGTCGTATATGCTGATGCAGTCCGTCCTCGTGTTCTGTGGTTGTTAGTAGCCAGTCACATTTATAAACTTGCTTTCAGAACTTGAAGGAGATTAGTCGCCTTCTAGGTATTCTATGGCCACATTCAGTTTAAACTTGTTATTTATGCTTTGGTATAAGCAACTTGTGAAAATACTGAAAAGTGTGTATAATTAAGAAGCGTTTGCAAAGAAAAGACACGGCTAGCATTAAAGCATTACATTAATTAACCATGGTTGATGGTATTCAGTAATCATGTTCGACTTCATAGGTGTAAAACGTCCCAGTACATTACATAAATTGACGATCTGAAAAGAGGAAGGGAATTATTCGTTGGGGTATATGAAGTTAGTACTATGAGCTAATGAAATACGTGAATCGGCATGCAGATCTGAATGGATGCTCAAAAGTATGAGTCTATTCGAAAAGACAGATAGTGGATTGGTACAAGAAAATATGTTCACGGCTACTCAAAACTGCAAGATTTACCGAAAATTGTTGTATTTCATAGAGGCTTGAAAACGTCGAGTGATCAGCCCATTATCTAGCGAATTCCAACAGCCCCTGTTCACACAGATACAAGATCAGTAAAAACTGTTCCTAGTCATCAGGTGCTAAGCCCCTCTTCTCCGTTAAGGTCACCCTTAGCAGTGGTTGGCACCTTCAATGGTAAACCAAGCATAAATATTCTTACGGAGACTCTCGCACTGATTGGCAGGGCATCCGCGACATGGCAGGCTTTGGCCACTCAGATCTAGCCAGTGGTCACGGAATTCAGAAAGATTAGAACAGCAACTGAGAAAGAACTATAGCTGCTCTATGATTTGTAAGGATACTTTTATGTGTCGAACGTCGAATGTCTTCCTGTGTTTAACTGAGTATCCCAATTTACCTACCCAACGCCGTGCTTTCGTAGATTAAATTTTATAAATGCAATTGGTCTTACCCAATGATACTACCTGACAGTCGGTATTTTGAGCAAAAGCCCTGATAGAAACGCTAGTTTCTAAATTGGAGAGACGGCTTCGTTCACATTTTGTCTTCCACTTTGTGATAGTACTCTACAACCTAAAAATTCTGGTTTTATGGTTGCATTTCGGATCTGTTTCCTCACTTTTGATTACTTATTAGTTTAATACTTGGTTTCTGCAACAATAGTCAATTGTCCAGATAGGGAACTGCAGAAGTCAGTTGCGAGGATTGTCGACCTACAGGTCTTGAATCTGGGGATGCTGCCAGATGTCTAATCGCTGCAACTCAGAATATTATGCTCAGTAACTGACCCGAGAACAGGGAAAGCGGATTGGCGATTTGAGGACTGTTAATTTCTTCACTGGCATTGAGGCTGGACTACACTGTTACTTCGGAAAAAGTCTAGCGATGAACATCAGCATAAGTTACAATAACACTTCTGATCATTCCTCCTCTGTCTTCTGCCAAACAGTGTGCTATCAGGACCAAAAACACCACAGTTGCTTAATGTGGAAACGGAGACCATATGAATAAACAAACTGTATCTTGTCCATCCGGTGTTCACCAACAGTAAGAGAAGTTTCAATTACCAAACGTCGAAAATGACATCAAAACCCCAAAATCTGCAGAGGGGATTTTTCGGTACCTAGCAGGGTTAGATTAAATACTTTCTTTCGACATGATACAGGACTGCTGCCTTGTCGACCAAAGCATTTCATTGAACGACACTGCATTAAGTCTAAAATCAGCAGGTATATAGATGTATGTTTTCAGGTAACTCATCAGACTTACAGGTAGGTGAGGAAAATTAATACTCACCCTTCAACTAAGTGACCATATCTGGTACCTACGAGTGAGGGGATTAACCACCTACGTCTAAAAACCAACTTATACAAAAGTCATTCTAAAGCTAGTGGAGCTACGGAACATACTCATCGACATCTCACTTTAACACTACTCAGTGGATAGAATTCAATGTCACGGCAAGGCACCCGAAACACTTTGTTATTATTAATAGTGAAGACAATTATTTTCAATGTTCTGGATACATAAGAGACACCAATTTGCAGACATCAACAATATATAGCCTATGGAAATCAGAGTCTAAGTACTCACATGCTAATAATAAGGGGAATCTTAGGGTAAATCATCGGTACAGTTAAAGTAATGGTACTGGAATTATTATAGAAACAATGCTACACATTTCTTCCGCCGACAATTATTCTTTTAAGTGCGCTCAATATGCACAGTATTCAGAACGTGTGTTACAGATGATAAATATGGTGAGTAGTCTAATCACCATAAAATGTAGCAGCAATCAAAAACAATAATGTTAATAACAGCGAAAACTCTGGAGACGAGGTCAAAGGCTGTCGAAAGTTGACCATCAATAACCAATCAGATATAGGGGACGCCGCGAAATTTCCTTCAAAATCGTATCACGAGTTCCTTTCCGGATTCGGAGAGGGTAGGTGGAGTATTCTACTTATTCTGTAGGCACTTTTTCTATAAATCTATACTGCTATTATGGGTTGTAGTCATCACGATTAGGGTCAAGGATTGAGGCTAAGGTTAGGACGACGTTCGTAATGAAGGGTACGCTGAAGCACAGTGTCAGGAATATCAATTGATCGCGGAGTACCACCTGGATGAATGCATCGATCACGCATGGTATAATTTCTCGGTAGATTATCCGTGGACTGACTGAGAGATATTCTTGTAACATGTAAGTGACAATTACATGGTGTGATAACATTTTCACAATGTTTTTTCTTGCATTTTTCAACGATGATGCGACATTTTTCGCTGACTTCCGTTCAAAGTTCCTGTAAGTTTGAATGCGAAGCTAACAATTTGCCCCAAATTAGAAAGATTACGTTGACATAACAAAAAGTGATAACTCTGCGCCAGCTTCTACCGTCAGATATTATTCATTCACAAGTAAGTGCAATCTGCAAGAGTACAACCTTGTTTGTGATATAATAATAATAGTATATTCTCATTTTTTACATGAGGGACGCCAGTTTACAGGCATCATCAATTCGATAAATTACACATACGATTAATAAGTATAGTTAGTAATGATAATATAATAAGGTACATATTTATTCATTCAAATATAGGACACACAAGTTGTATAGGAATGGATAAGAATTAAGTTACATATTTAAATTACATGATTTACGGTTAAATAACATGGTTATTGTCATTTTATCTTTAGTTTGTGGGGAAAATCGGATAACTGGTGATTCAATGGATGCAGGAGCCTCTCAAATATTAGGCCTTGTCTATGATTTTGAAGTCGTGTGACGTTAATCTCATTGTCAACAAGTTGTATACACATGTCTAGTTTGAGAATCTACTCACTCAAACCTATGACCTCATGCCATCGTCTGACCAGGATTTTGAATATTTCGAATCTACCATCACTGATTCTTGCAGTCAATACCTTAGTGCTAAGCCAAAAATGCCAAGTATTGTGACAAAGCAGCACAAGGAAGAGCTTCGACCACTGACACATAATAAAGATATGCTTTTGACACGCCGGAACAAGGATGCCATTGAACTGTAATCTATTGATATTGTTGATTCGATGTTATTTAAACAATATAAATATTGTTAAAAACAATAATGAATTAACTATTATGCATATATAAATTAAAAACCTAATGATGAAGTTATCGAGAAGAATATGCTTTGTCCAGTAACCATTCTTTTAAAATATTTGCACCTAAACAGTAAGATAAATACGCATTCGACAGCACAAAAATGAAATGTCGGAATAAATTTTGATGTAGGACCTTGGAGTAGATGCTGCGTTCAAATAATAAACGATCCAAATGCTTTTTCGCGTTATTATGTATCCTTGTTATTATCGTAAAAATATTTATTACTATTATTATTTACTTCACCAACTGACAGTCTCCTGTAGTCTCTCCGACCTCTACGGGGAGGGGAGCCGTGTGGAGGGAGTAACAATATGACTGTACACCTTTTTGCAAGGTGTTGAAATTAGAGACATTTTACATGATTTCTGTTTGAAACGATTCATGTTGGAATATAGATTACTTCCGAGTACAATCTAAAATACAGTGTACTGTTGGTTGTCTCGTCTTCTCGCTGGTCTATACTGTCTACTTGCTCCACTCGTAATCGTGCTGTATACTTTGGATTTTTGCAGTAACCTCTTATCCCAATCCGAAGCCAATTTTACAACCGGTACAAAGCTTCTACCAGTAGACGCGATTCCAGCAGTGAGTGCTTCTGTGTAGCCGTGGACTCCAGCTGTGTATCCAAGTAACCGCTTAATTATTTAACTAATTGCTGTATTTCTTATAATACGCTGTTACACTATCATCTCATTAGCTTGGATTTTTATTCACATACTTGTTATGTTATTGAGCTCGCTAGACAATCTCCTACGTATATGGATAATAATGTGCTAGAGACCCCTGGGAATGATAGTATACACTGGAAATTATTGATGCTAACCACCTTGGTCTAAGCATGAAAAGGTTGATGTTTTCAATGAAATTATAGCTTTTTTCGTGCACCGTCGAAAGCAACCAAATGTTAAGGAAGGAACAAATATATAGATGAATGTCACACCCACTGTTTTTAAAAATTATTGAAGCAAGGCCATCCGGCCCTGTGCTAGTAGAAGGTCTAAGGTTATTAACGGCTTGTCCTATTCACTGATTGTTGAACACCATCTAGTCCTAGATGATCTTGAAATTTAGTAAACTTACTGGCATCAAGGGAATAACCCAAAAATTATGGGACGTATAAACTGAGTTGACATTTTACGAAGTCGTTTGCAATCAGTATGGAACTCCAGCGATACCGCAACAATTCAGGATATTGTTTTTATGGTTTGTAGAGGCACTGAGTCTGGTATGATGTAAACTTTACCCTGATGAGATAAGGCTATACGCTTTATCACTTTCGCAGCCAAGCAGTCAGTGTGATTTTCTGCTTTAAATAGCTTGTCCGGAGAAATTGAAGGATGTTCTTCTAAAAAGCAGGTTACTGGATTTAACTGAGTTACATCTAACAAAGACTTAACCTGGCCAAAATCAGAATGGTTTTCGGTGTTATTTGAGATTGAAGTTGCCATGCGACCAAACTGAAGTTCATTTACTTGCCTCTGGATAGCTTTCACATGGCATTCAGACTCACAGAACTCAGAGATCTCTGACAGAACATCTTTCCACTGAATTCCGGGAACGAGAACTGGGTTCGAACCAATTCGTGAGTTAGTAGTTTTCCCTATATCACAGGAACGTGATGCAGCTAAAACCAAGCCAATATCTTAAGCAACTTTTTCGACGAACACGTCTTTCAGAAATTAAGCCCATAATTTTGAATATTGTATATCAGTCAGCATTAAATGAATATCAGAGAAACTATATTTAAAAGTGTCGCTGATTCCTAACGTTCCTCATTTCAGTACGTGACACCTAGGTTACGTAAAATCTCTAGCGCCTAAGTTTGTTTGCTTTTTCATGTCTGAAATCAAAGTACTATACAGTGGACTACAAGTTGGGGGATTCATCGTCAAACATATTACGATTTGAACGGTTTATATCTTGTATCAGCTCCGCGAAAATCATGATCATGTTTTCTGTTCCTTTAAGAGTACGTTATTTTCAAATTTACTAATCAGCAAGTATGTAACAACTGATGATGCCAGCCAACCACCATGGATATGTCAGTTGGTCTATAATCGTGATCAATAATCATGATCAAACGGAGATGTCACTAAGGCGTCCATAAGATTTCACATAGTGCACATCGTTATTTGGATTCGTAATAGTACAATATTGAATATTTACAGTCCTAAAGATCAGGACTGAGGAGTAGTAGTCTGGACGCAGGTATTCAATGAATTAATGCAATTTCATATGACTAACGGGATTAGCCACCTTCCTGAGTTCGGTTAACCAAACTTCAGTATTTCATACACAGTCAAGGGCTTTATTTGAACAACCTCAATACATGATTGGCTGTGGAGGAATTTGTGGGTCTACTTAAGAATATGAATTAATATGGAAATTATTCCAGTGATGACGTGAGACAACCATAGAGCCCGAGGTCCCTTAGCTACAAATGACTGCTAGACAGTGAAAATAATCGAATAAACGCAACTGTATAGTGTCTCAGAATTCACAGGAACATTCTGAACAAAATGGATAGAAAGTTGTCTGCATAAGCACCGAAGAAAAAAAACAGTCAACAAACAAGCGACCACCCTATGCTGCTGAACTTAACACATTCAAACAAAAATAGCGGTAGTAAAGCAAAGAATTGTCAGTGGTTCATCATAGCATAATAGTAAAGTGTAAGATTAAAAATTAAAAAAAGCAAAAAATAAAAATTAACAATGATTAGCTCCTAAAAGAATTTTAACAGTTTTAGAATGTTGATACACAGGACATGAGTAGGGGTTAGCGATTAAAAAATTAGTTAAAATGCGTAAGTTATTATTGCTGTTGTAAAAAGATAACTAGGGATGGATATTCAGGTCAGTTAGCCCGCCACAGTTATATTGGTTAGGTCATTACTGCTGTTTGAACTGTTATTCACGGCATCATCACCGTATGGGTAAGGATTTCATTTGAAGATGCACTTAACAGTTACCTCTATACGGGCGCAGCTATGAAGTGAAACTGAAATTAATAACTAGGTAGACGGGTGAAATGAAATGTGGATTTTAGATACGAAACTCTATCAAGATATGGTGATAACGGCACTTTCGCTAAGCCCCACGGTATGTTTACACGGTTTCCGAAAAAATGTTTCTCGCATAACTGGATCTCTGAACTTCATTGAACTCATAGATGCTGCGTGCGACCAGCTGAACATCAAGAATCGTTATAATTGTCTTGACCATTGGGTTACGGGTATTCCACCGTTTCCTCTCGATCCGATATAAGAGGAACCAACACTGACCATCTGATAAATGTTAAGGGATATGAAAAATGTCCCTTATCCTGGCGTGGCGTGCAAAATGAAATGCGTTCGTCTATATGCCACCAATGAGATTCATAGCACAAACCCTGATTTAACTTGCTTTTGTGGAACCTGGTGACGAGTAAAAATTACGCCATAGCATGAGTACCCTATCCCCTGTTATAAGTGTCCTTTTAAACGTAGACCAATAGGCAGTCATGAGAGCGAATCAGAACGATAACTGGATCGTCCAGACCATTATATATGCCTGGTGACAAATGCCGTTGAGCATTATCACATGTCCAGCTAACCAAGGTCTATGCGAGAACATGAGAGGCAGTGTCCGATCGAGTACCATCAGCTTGACGAAATCATTTAGACAGGGGTAAATATCAAATAATGAATGAAGAAGCTAAAGACTAAAGAAATCTAAGGAATTATATAATACCACAGGTTTTTCGGAAGTATTTTGTGAACAGATGTTATGCGTGCATGTAATATTAAGAGGTTCATTTCACTACAATTATATGAACTCAATATCCAGATTCCAATCGTATTCTGTGTAAACCTCTGAACTTTATAAATGTCGCGGACTCATTAAGCATAGATAGATAACTGTCAATGTCCAGGTATAACTCCCCTGGAATTAACGCTGTTCTTAGAAGACTTCCAGAAACTATTGTCAGTAACCAACGCGAAAAGGCAGAACACAAATTGGTGATTCAAGGATCCTATATTCTTGTGCCAATACCGAACCAACCACAAGGTTATTGTACACAAAGTCTAAGGATAAATGTTATAACAATTAATCACAATAATACTTCCGATATTTTTTCTCTGTCTTCTAACAAACAGCGAACGATAGAACGATGACTGCAGTATCGATGACTCCCGCCAAAATATGGAGTTGGGTTTGAGCAAACAACCATGAATTGATCGTTCATTCTTCAACTACTTTGACAATAACATTGATTTTAAAACTTATAATAGTGGGACATTTAATAGTGGAAACAAAAAACCATATATTATGGCTAAATAAAGAGAGTAATATACAGGGGAAAATATTTCGAATCTAGTGAATTTTCACGAATAATTGACTTGATGCTGAACGTCATAAATCATTACATTAATTTAATCTGGGCCAGTATTGACTGCCAGTAATTGTAAACAATAAACGATTCTCATTTGATCATGTTCGTGGGGAAAATTTCTAACTGTAGAAAATATTTTCATTTTAAATTTGTTTGAAATACTCATTGTGACGCGTTACACAAAGCTTCACAATTTAACTTTGCAAAGGTGATCTCGTGATGGCATTTGCATTTCAGTTTAATATGATATAAATGGAAAAGTACGAAAACCTTGGATTAGTTGGGGAAGGAAGTTATGGCATGGTTATAAAGTGTAAAAATAAGGAGACTGGACGAATTGTAGCGATAAAAAAGTTCATTGATAGTGAAGACGACAAACATGTTAAGAAAATAGCACTTCGTGAAATACGAATGCTGAAAGTAAATTGTTGAACTATTCCATATTTCTTTACAGCAGCTGCGTCATGACAATTTGGTGAATCTATTGGAAGTCTTTAGGAGAAAGAAAAGACTATATCTTGTATTCGAGTTTGTTGACCACACTATTCTGGATGATTTAGAGAAGTTTCCTAATGGCATTGAAGAGCTGCGCACAAAGCGCATACTTTTTCAAGTCATTCGAGGCGTTGAATTTTGTCATTTGCATAATGTAAGACTTTGAAATCTTAATAATTCGCTAGGTTTTTTCTGTATTTAAAATACTCTCGTTTTCAATCTAAGTATTGCAAAAATCTTCAAAACCTAGTTAAATTAATATTGAGCAGTTTAGGATGTGTCGGTAGCGTATTCATTGTCTGAATAAAAAATACACAGAACGCTTACTAATATTATTTGATGTACAACAAACGAAGTTCCGTGTTATTTTGCATAAACTGTTAATATTAAAAGCAATTATTATCTTAATAGCCAAGGATTAAGCAACAGTTGTATCTAACTTCTGTTCTATTGAGGTAAAATTCTTACTCCTATGCATCACATAAGCTTAACGCTTTGGGATTTTTATGCTTAAGCAGTAAATCTATACTACTCATAATTTCATCAATAATTATTAATGACGACATTAGTAGTCCAGTGATTATAATGTTTTTTTTCCTAAAACGTTTGGGTTTTTTTTTCCTACAGTATCTGTGCCCACACATTATGAATAAACAATTGCTTAATTCTTATTAGTTATTAAGTCCAAACTTGTGACGAGTTAAATATGCTTGTGATTGGTGACTGAATTAGTTGGAGTTATATTTGCCTAGGGTAGAAAGGAAATAGGCTACTTCAGCAAACACGTCATAAATTAATTTTTTCACTTTAAGACATTTCATGAATGCTATTTTTACTAATGGATCACTCTTAGCAACCAAATTGTGACGACATTCGCGGATGAAATTAAAATTATGATGGAAACCCCAGGTAAGGATGTAATCAACACATCATACACAGTGACATCACCAACTTTGTGACTCCTGAGATAGTTTTATATGTTTGGAAGCCTTCAGAAAAGTGTCATCTACGTAGGATTCCTGCCTTTTGGCATTCACCAGATACATACATTTATAACCTGCCAGAGTTGACTTATCACTAATTAGTATATGTCATAAAAGAGGTCTTTCTTCAAGGATCAGTCAGTCTATTTAGTGCAGTCTTACTGGAGGTCATTTGCCAGCCTCTTATACCTCAGAGATAACACCTCTTGTTGCAGCATTAGATTCAGTAGGTTTGAGTCTCCTAGGGAATAAAATCCTTGTGACGCTCTAGACATGTCTTGTTGACGAGTGAAATTAACCCACGTCATAGTTTCATGGCTTTCTGTCATCATTCTTTACCTGTCTAATATGTTTTAAATCCTATGAATTTTTTCCAAGTAAGGCAATAAATAGTGTACATATCGGAAGCCGCAACCGAAATTCACAAATATGATATATATACATATATATATAATGTAAAAAATGTATTAGTCTAGAAAAATAAGTATTTTCGGATGTAAGCTTGTAATTCTTTCATTTGAAAATTATAGAAACAAGTCATATTTCAATGAAGTTGGCTATTTGTATAAAGTGAAGTACCGAAGGTAACAGTAGTAGTAAATTTAGGGAAATTTGGCTAAACCGTACCCACCAGTGCATTTTTTACATGAATATTTAGTTGTTAACTGGAATGGATTTATTTTCTGTGTTACGTCATCAGAAATTTTGATTATTTCACCAGCTGTGTAATAAACAAACGTAGGGTTTACAACAAAAGACATTGAGGCCAACGTCCACACTCAGTAAAAACAAATCGCTGCTTAAGCAGTTGGACTATATGCTTTAAAATAGGCACATACACTTGTGATTGGAATTCAATGTCTTCATGATGTTTTCCATAGTGGCCAGTGATGAGATCCTTACGTTGAAAGAAAACTAAAGGTCAGAGCTGATAAAAAGCGTTGCATAGTAACTGGTGGGATTTAAATAAATGCTGATTTTTGTACAGAGATTTAATTCTGAAAACCGTCGAATAATAACGGGTAATGCCCGTTTCCTGACTTTAAATATATAAAGTAAAACATTTTAGAACATGAGATAGAAATATACTTGTAATAAAGCAGTTAATTGTTGTGTGATGAACTTAACTTATATACATTATAAACAATATCTTGGTTCTAATCTAGATAGTTCATCGCGATATCAAACCAGAAAATATACTCATTAGCCGTAGTGGCGTGGTAAAATTATGTGACTTCGGATTTGCACGTACACTAGCTGCCCCCGGTGAAGTATACACAGACTATGTTGCCACTAGGTGGTACAGAGCACCTGAACTTCTTGTTGGGGACACAAAATATGGGAGGTGAGTCTAGTAACTTCAATATATACAATACTGAACCAACTTGATTTCCGATTCTTACATAGTGTTCTGAATTTTCGAGAGTTGTTTTACTATAATATTTTTTACCAAGGGATGTGAAATAACTGGTTTTACTGTTCAAATTAAGTTTGATTGTAAATCCCAAAGGATTATTTTGAAAAAGATTTTAAATACAGTAAACATTTTGATTCCACCATATTAATCTATCAAAGCGAATTAAAGCATCTAGTTGTCTTGCTTTTATTTACTGTTAGAAAGTCATTCAATGCAGTCCTTTATGATAGTGTTTCCTGCTTATATAAACCTTCTTAATATGTAATAATGAGGATAGGCTGTTTTCGCGAAATTGAATCTGCAGGTGATACTGACTACTGTTTAAGAGTTGATAGTACATTTATAATAAGTTATTACTGATAAATGCGTTGGTGGTTCAGGGATAGAACGGTCGCCCATCACTCATGTGGTCAGCGGTTTGATCACCCGTCAACGCACTCCCAAACCTCGCTAAGCTAGTAGTAAGGAAGATAAAGAGGAATGATTGGGTATGGGGCTAGGGACCCTACCCCATAGAAATAAAACCACTGCTACTGAGACTTCAGAGCTCTGGCTTGAAGCCCTATGTTCCAATCAGAACGTAAAGGGAATGAATAATAGCATTATTTACTGGATTACGTTTCAAAAACAATTTATTGTTCATAATCATTTCAGTTATAAATTGTGTTTAAAACGTCATCTAGTGAATAAAACTGTTTCACTGTGTGATGTATCTAATAAACAAATTAATATGGAGTAAATGGTATAATAATTACTGATAATTATTTTTCTGCAACCCTTAAAGTGTTTTTATTTTGTAATGCTTCATAGACGGTGCCTAGTTTCCTTATATAAAACAAACTTTTGAAATTATTGATGGACATTACACTACTAATCATTATATAGTTCTCACAGATTACATCCTTCATCACACACAGACCTGTATTTCTTCCTGGAACTTGTTTCTTGACAGTAGCTCATTCAAAAAATGAAAAAAGTGAAAGACACAACACTGACTTGCCATCGAACAAATGGTCAATAAGTAACGGAGATATATCTTAAGATACGTGTTTAGTTAAATTTTTTCCTTATGAATAAATTAATAGGAAAATTCAGGGCACCTTTAAATCTTTTAAAAGAGAAAGCAGAACTGATTTTATGATGAATGTATAGAGCTACAAATTTTCATTTCTTTTAACCTTTCTCTTGGTTTCTGTTAGAAAGTATAGTGGTTTAGATTAATGTGCTTTGTATCAAAATCCATTTTCTTGTAGTTAATCAAATGTGCTTGATGAATTCAATGAATTCCCAGTTTCACATTAAAAAGAACAAGATCAATTCTTTGAGATGCTTTACAAAAGTTTCTGAAGGTAGATTTCGGAAACCACTGTACATACTTCTGGTTGGGATTCATGAGAAAGACTCATATGGAAACCGTGCGTTGGTGGCACATCGGTCAGGACTCTCGCCGACCATGCATATGGTCCGGGGTTCGACCCCCTGCCGACGCACACCTGTTATTTATGGTCGGCCTGCAAAATTTGGGCTACCGATATCACATGCTAAAAGTTCCATACTTGTACCAAAAATACTGTGTGGTTGCAAGCTATAATAAAAAAAATGATGCCCACCAGGTATTTATATCCTGGCGACAAATTCTTAACGAAGTTCACAGCAGCTTCGTGCCTTGTAGCTCGGTAGAAATATAGCACAATTAATTCACTGATTAATTACGGCCAGTATTGAGGACCACAGTCGTGTATTGATCATTATTCAAATACGAGTTTGACCGAATTGTAAGTTGTATTTTGCTCTAGGTGGAAAACAAAAGGTTTTGTCACCCTTAAAAGCCTCGGATACCTTTGTTTTTAAAAATCAAATGGAGTTTCTCATTTTAAAGCAGATTTTTTATTTAACTTTAACAAGAAGTTTTCTTATTCTAAAGCCACTTAGTGACAGTTCACTAACTAAGTTAAATGATATCGTCATTTTATATTATGAACCACAGTTTTTATGAATAATGGGTTTACAATATCACTCATTTGCTTAAGCAAACTTGCAGTCAGAATCTGAAAATCCAATGCTTAAACCAATGTGCTGGGCATGTTTATTTCGAAATCATATATGTGAGAGCTACATTCTACGACCGGAGGAGTTCAGATTTGTCCAAAACTTTGGAAAGTAGATGACCGAATATTTGAGTCTTCTGATTTCCCCATATAAGGGATCTGAAAATTCAATGAACCAATTATATGCACAGAAGTATTTTACTAGCTACCAGTACTACGTGATAACATTTTAGGAGGAATTCCTTTACTGTCAAACACATACTTAACAGTGATACAAGATTACCAATACATGATTAATATGCCAATCACAGTTTCTTTTTGTGAAGTAAATTATTTGGTTATTTCTACTGTATTAACTGTATCTTATGATTTTTATGCTAATTATATTGAACCAGGCCAATAGATATCTGGGCGATCGGTTGTCTTGCTGCAGAAATGTTGACAGGCGATCCTTTATTCCCTGGTGATTCTGATATCGATCAACTCCACAGGATTGTTCGCTGTCTTGGTAAGTTAAATTTATCTTTATCAACCGGACCAGTAAACTAAATCTGATTTACAAATTCACTTGTTTTTGTTTATTGGGTATTCTGGAAATTTTTATTAGTTATTCAGCTTGTTGATTGTTTATTTTACATTTTTAACTCAAACGGAAATGTAAACAAGTATCATCTGACTGATGAATAATTTTGAATGGCCTTCAGTCCACAGCATTTTTTCTAATACTACCTTAAATATCTTTTGTTATTAAAGCTATAAAATAAAATAGCCTTATAAAAATACGTTATAACTTATGTTAAAACTAAGTTACAAGGTGCTAAGTAAACCAATACTTACTCGATCAGGTATGTTTTACCGTTACTCCGTCTGTAGATGAAATTGTTACGGCAACTTAAGTATCAGAAATGTAGAATTTAATTGGTGGACGGTGACTAGCAGTGGAATCCAGGATGCGCATTTCGTCCTATTTGAGACTCGAATAATCAGAAATGTAGTTCAAAATAGGTGTAAGATATACAACAAAAGCCTTCACATTCACTTTTTACATGTTACTATTTTCAGTGTACGTATGATAAAGATTATTTCATACTCAAAAATGTAAGACAACAAATGTTCTGTTTTTAATTACTTTATTAATGAATCACTTATCTTCTTTCCATTTGCATATGTTTTCCTCATGTATACACTTAACTGATGTCTTATTCTGGTGACTATAAATGCATCCATTTTCTCACATTGTAAGACAACACTATGTAATGCTTATACATACATTCACAATAGTCTTCTGTATGGAAGATCGGACGGAAACAGTAATAAAAGCAGCTTGACATTTAATTATAAAAATTTAGGATAAATATACGAAATATTGAGAGAAAAAACAAGATACTTTCTAAGTAAAAATTTCAGAGCTTGGAAAAATGAGATTGCTTCAAACAGTCAACCATTTAGTCAGGAACGCAATAATAAGTTCGGAAAAACACACATAAAGACTGTTTTCAGTTAGGATTAGACCAGTTTTCTGACAACTATTACATACATTTTTAAGATAAGTAGTACAGCAGCACAATTATCATTCATATATCTTACGACCATAAGCTAACATCTTATGGTTTTTAAACTACAGTTCTGTCTCCCACAATTTTGATCGCGAGTAATATTAACTGTCAGAAGTCACAATATTACCTTTTTAAAAGACTACATGGTATGGAAATAACACATTTCTGTCATGTGTCTTAAACATGTAAGAAACTTTACCATTCATTTCGTACCCACCAGAACTGTATTATGATGGCACACAGAGCAGGAAGTGAGTTAGCAGACAAAGTACCTATCGTCATGCTGATCTGAAATTACTTATCAGTTCCAAGTGATCAATTATTCACATAAGTGGGGAAAAGGAAACGATTGTTTAGATTTTATTAGACTTTCTTTTAAATGTTAAGATACCTAGCTGTCTAAGGGAAACCATATGTACCTAATAATTATCTTTGGTAACTGTTTCTGCCTTATACCAGTGGAGGTGAAAGATATACGGAACATAAGGTATTACATTGAAGATAGAATTAAAGCCCTACTATTGTATTGCATCCACTTGTCAAAAGATAGTGACGTCTGAAAAATGATTTGAAATAAAAAAATACACGACATTCATTAATGTTTCGATTTTGCACTGAGTTATACTGATCATGTTTACTGGATACCGACTGAATACATATATCGGTTAATGCAGCGCAGTTTCTGGGTTCCTAATTAGTTTAAAACAGTTAGTCCCTTTTATAAATTTCGATAGCATTATTAGAAGACGGAGATTATCTGAAAAATGTGATGTATTAGCGCTATACATTTCGAACAATCTAATCACACATTTACTTGTCAAGTCAATATATATGGAAAAGTTAAATTAAACAAGGTGACAAAAAAAAAGAATTAAGAATAATTAACACAAACGTTTGGTAATCCAATCAAATAAGGATTACCAAGGTAGGTTAAGAGTAATAACAAACTGTTTTTGAATACACAAGGGGGGCTTAAGTTTATGAATGGCTATAGCCTCAGCGTATTTCAGTAAACGTCCTTGACCATTTTTATAGATGACCTTAAAGGCTGAGTTAACATCAACCTTATGGTTCATCTCGATTAAATGTTTAGCTATAGATGAAGTTGGTAGTCTGGCGCCTGCATCTATGGGCTTGTCACAATTCATCTGTTTTCCTAACCACTTTGGGATATGCTCTCCCACCCTCACGTGCAACGCGCGATTACTCCTCCCTATGTATGTATGTCCACACACACACACACGAAAATTGGTAAATTGTATGGGATGTGATATAATCACTTGTTCACTTTTGAGGTTTCCAGTGAAGCATATTTTTAGCCTTTTCGATAATTACAAGCTGGGCTGCATAGTAGGTTCTACGGATGATGGAATTCAACCTTTGTCTCAAAATCCTACTATTTATTTCCCCATTATATGGTAATTTGATGAAAACCTTTTTCTTAGGGACGGTATGGATTGTAGGTTTAGAGGCTAGTTGACTTCTACACCTGTTTAAAAACTTCAAAGGATATCCGTTTTCAACAAGAGTATCCATCAATATTTCGTTTTCCTTGTCTATAACATCAGCCGTGCAAATACGCTGAATCCTCTTAAATAGACACTTCACCGAGCCTCTCTTATATTGTAATGGACAGAAGCTGTGAAAATTAAGATATTGCCCAGTCCAAGTGGGCTTTCTGTAGATAGACCGTCTTATTGAGCCATCGTCTCTTCGACTCAGAAGTATGTCTAAAAATGCTAGCTGGTTGCGACTTTCTTCCTCGCATGTAAGACTAATATGATTCTGTACAGAGTTAAGTCTGTCCAGTAGACGACTCGCATCTTCATGATCATCGCATATCAAAATGATATCGTCTACATATCTCTTATAGAAAGGCAATTTAGAAATTAAATCAGAAGATAAGTTTTCAACATAAGACATAAAAACATCCGCTAATAAAGGTCCTAATGGACTCCCCATAGCAACGCCATCCACTTGTCCACTTGAAATAAAGGCTACCTAGGCAAACTACCAAAGAAATGCGACTTGGGCCTCTGCAAGGACTGACACGGAATCATACTCTTGTCCATGCCAAGTGAAATACTAAATCGTATCAATCTGAAAAGAATCAAAGATGCAATAGATGCAAAACCCTGTCCTAGTCGAGCTGGATATAGGAAAGGTAAATCACGTCTGATCAAATTGCAGAGCCACTCATCATAATCGAACAGAGTACGCAGAGAATGACAGTCAAATCTTTACCTCAACTCCATCGGCTTTGAAAAGGCCTTCAATAACTTTGACCGCGAAGTAATTTAGAAACTACTTTAACTTAATGCAGTGTAGTGCCTGAAATCTTTATCAACCTCATTCAGCAGCTATATGACAATGGCATGTGTTAGGTGATCCACAATAGAAAACTCACCGAAACCTTTCGAGTGAATACACGAGTAAGACAGGGCTTACTATTATCACCGACGATATCACTAATTGTGGCGGGCTGGATTATGTAGCGCACCCTGCATGGAAAGCAAGAAGACAGGAACACAGTGAACCGATAAGGAGACTCTGGAAGATCTGAACTTCGTAAATGGTTTGTGTCTCATGCCACACAAACTGGAATATTTGCAGGCGAAAACCAACAAACCGTCTAAAGAAGCAGGTATGGAAGAGATGACTTCAAGTGAATATACAGCAGACAGAGGTGACAAAGATGACCAACCAACAACAACCAGCACCAATCACTACCAACGCCAGAAACTTTAAAGAGGTCACTTCCTTCACTTATCTAGGCAGCATAATTTTAACTACAGGTGGAGCGAATGAAGACGTCAAAGCCAATTGGAATCGGAAAGGCAAGGTACACTTTCATCACTCTGAATTCGGTTTGAAAAATCTTCTGCGCTCCACATAAAGATCAAAATTTGGATTTTGAAGACAAGTGTTCTTTTTATATGGGTGAGAAACGTACACTGCATGTCACGGAAAGCATTTCCACCAGGCTATTGCAGACTTTCATCAACAGCTACCATTGCTTGTTCCATATTGAAGATCGAATAGCCAGAAAGATTTAGCGACAAGAAATTATGGAAGTAAACTAACCAAGAATCTATTGTTCAAGAAATATAAGGGAGAAAATGGCACACGCTGAGGAGACCGTCAAATGATGTCGCTCACCACGCCAGTGCTCGAGTGGGACCCAAATAGAAAGTGACGAGTGGGTCCTCCTGAAGTGACATGGAGGAGGTTGTGTGAAGGGGAGATGCGAGAGTATGTGCAATCGTGGGACCAGTCAAAGAGGAATGCAGAAAATAGGATAAAGTGGAGATATGCTGTTGACGCCTTATGTTCCACTTGGAACCAAAGGGAACAGTAATTATAACATATGAATTAATACAGACATGATTAATCAGTTCCCAAATGGTTCTGTCTCCTAATACCATTGTAGTTACACTTTTGAGACAATAACCACTGGAAGGGCACGAACAAATAAGTATTACTGTAGGGCAAATATCTAGTAAATTCAGTCGACTTATTATTTTATTACCTTGATGTAAACACTTTTAGTTACACAAGCAACTTTTTAAGCTGCCTACAAATCAGCTTTTAAATATCTGAGTACACGCCTTTCACGACAACATATTTCATCATTTGCAAATGTGACTGATATCTGACTTATAAGTTTTCACTCTTATGCATACCTACAGGTTGCATTTGTTTTTTAGTACTGTATACTACATTGACTCCTTTCCAGTTATTCTTTAAATCTGAGAATCAAAATCCCCTTTTATATTAATTGATAAAAAAATTCTTCATAAAATGTTTCTTGTTCACTAAATTTTCGATATGAATACATAGCAAAGCTTGTGTTACTAGAAAGCAAGTGATAAGTTTTTCATACCATTTTGGTATCTACGTATCAGAAAAACTAATATTTGACAAATATCTTGTAAATACTCAAAGAATAGGA